AAAACGAACCCAAAAAATGGGAAAAAGGGGGGGGGGGGGGGGGACATAAAACAATAGTCTAAAAATGATATTTGTTAAACAGCTCTCAGGCTAGAAGATGACTGTAAAACCAGATGAAATCCTTCAACTAAAAGCAGGGTTAAACTAAAATGCTGTGGTCTGGTGTCAAAAGTTTAACTAAGCCGGAACTAGGCAAATGTCAGGAATGTTGGACAGGGGGTCGTCTAATAAAGCATCTTGTTTCACATGGTGGCCAATCATTTGCCCCAGAGGGCAGGATGGGTATGGAGGCCAAGACCTTCCCCTGCTGTTGACACCGAGCACTGGCATTCGGAGGCTTTACTGCAAAAATTATTTCCCTTTGACCATCCTGAATCTACTGCTCACTAACTTGACGGGGTGCCCCCCACCCTGAGTCCTGGTATTATGGGAGAAAGAGAAGAAGTTCTAGCCACTATTTCCAGCCCACGTATAATTTTACAAACCTCTATTATGTCCCTTATTAGGCTGTGGTCACACACACTACATAATCCACCTTCAGTGCACTTTCCAACTGGATTTTGCCAGTTCACACAGTAAAATTCAGATGGAAAGCGCATTGAAAGTGGATTCTTTTCCCCAAAAAACGGTAAGACTCTTTAGCTTTTCCTCAAAGGAAAGATGCCCCAGCTTATTAATCATCTTGGTTAATTTCTTCTGCACTTTTTCAAACTCTGCAAATATTCATTTGGAGATACGGCAACTGTACTTAGCATGACAAAGGAGGGCACACCAGAGCCGTGTACAGCGACATTAAAATATTAGCCATTTTATTTTCAATCCTTTTTCCTAATGGGGGGCAGGCAGGTGCCCCACTAAAGAAGCCTTGTCTCTGGCTGTTTCCATTGATGGTGGCACAGAAAGCAGGGCTTGGGAGGAGGATTTTAAATGGTGGGCTGGACAGCATGGGAGGAAACAGTCCTTCCAAGTGTCCCGCATCAAGCTATCCAAGGCACTTACTTACCTTTAAGTAGTAAAGAAGAAGGGATTGGATTTATACCCTACCCTTCACTACCCGAAGGAGTCTCAGGGCAGCTTACCATCTCCTTTCCCCTCCCCATGAGAGACACCCTGTGAGGTAGGTGGGGCTGAGAGAGCTCTTTCGAGGACTGCCCTTGAGAGAACAGCTCTGAGAGAGCTGCGACGGTGGTCCTCCCAGATTAGAGTCCGCGCCCCTAACCACTACACCAAAACCAGTGCCAGCACGTATACTAACTTTATTAGAGACTCACCATCCAGGAGGGGATCTCACCTCCAGCCCAAAGTTCCTTTTAAGAATACAGTTTAACAATTTCTATTTTAAGCATCCCCTGGAGAGTCCCTGGTGCTGGCAAAGGATAGTTTCTGTACTCACCGGGCTCTACGTGTTTCAGCAGCCCTCGCCTTGCCAGGCGGGACTGGAGTGCCACCGGCAGCGGCATCCGGAACGACACAAACCGGGATAGATGGACCCGCCTTTCTCCCGCACAGGCGCCTCTGTTTCCAAGCACAAAAAAGAGATCCCAGACATGGCATTGCATCACTGATGCTAGAGTCACATTGCTCCTTCCCTCCCTGCTTTCGGAAAGGAACTCACACCCTTTTCTCATCCACCCGCACAACCCCACGTATCTCCCATAAGAATCACTATCTGGTTCCGGACCCATTTGCAGCCTCTAACAAAGCTTCCAATTCCAGGTCCTGCAGCTTCACCTGTGGGCACGCTAGGTGCTTCAGAAGAGCCTTTCCAGAACCAACCCAGTCATCATCACCAGACGGTTCACTCCAGCTTGTCCCAACACATATATCAAAACTCCAACTCCTTCCCTGTCTTATATTTATCATGGCTTTGCAGCGTTATTACCTCCATGTCCTGTCTCCCTACTAACAAGATACTCTTTCAGAAGTCTTTTTGCAAGTCAAGCAGGAACTTAATGATAAGCTGAATCTATTTAAAAATGCATTGGTGATATTTGGCACAATATTATACTGAATCTCTCTCTCTCTCTCTGCATTTACCACTGCTCAGATGTTGTTAACCGGTGTGGATTTCCAAAGGAAAAAGAAAACCAGTATAGATTAAGAAAATACCCAAGTAGGCAATATTAAAGTAGGCAATTTATATTATATGCCTCATTAGTGCTAGTTAAATCTGATTGCCAGCTAGGGTTGCCAGCTCTGGGTTGGGAAATTCCTGGAGATTTTGGGGGATGAAACCTTGGAAGGGTGAGGTTTGGGGGAGGGACTTCAATAGGACACAATGCCATAGAGTCCACCCTCCAAAGCAGCCATTTTTCTCCAGGGGAACGGAACTTGGTCATCTGGAGATCAGTTGTAATCCCAGGAGACCTCCAGGAGCTCCCTGGAGGTTGGCGACCCTACTGGCTACCTCTTGAGTTCCTAAACATGGCACCCACAAGCTGGAAGGGGCAAACCTGTGCCCCTTCAGGCTGCCAATGCAGAAAGCAGAAGGGAATTAATAAAAAGAATTATTGGCAAAAGAAAGCTAGCACGTCAGGGAAAACTAGGCTTGATAAGAAGGAATCCTTCTTCCTGAAGTGCTAGCTTTCTGCAGGGAGGAATACCCCACCATGCCAGGCACCCATCCACGGCCTGCACAGACGCGAAATTCACCACTCCCGTGAAAAGAAGGTCCCAACAGTCTCTTCTCTCCCCCGCAACACCACGAACCCCAACTTCACCTGATTCAAACGACGCTTCCAAACCTTTTCGACCCTCAGAAGCCACCGTCCTGCTTGCCTCTATGCACGTGACACCCCTCGACCCATCCACAAGGATATTCCGCTTCGCGCTTGTCACATGGTATAATATGACTCCTCCCCTTTTTAAAGAGATATTACCGTAGGTTGTTTTTTTTTAAACCCTAGGATTCTGTTTTCCCTGACCCTCCACTCCAAATCTAGCCAACCAGGGACGACCTTGCTTTGTCAGACGAGATAAGCCTTTTCGCTCGCCTTTTCAAAGGCCTATGGGGGGAAGAAGAAGACCTCCGAATAGATTTTCCCTCCCTTCCGTCCCTTTCACGTGATCCTAACCGACCAATAGACGCGCTCGACGCAATTAGAATGCGACGCTCCTTCCAATGGCTCCTTCTCACGTGACCCGCGGAGGCCACGGCTGGGTGCGATGGAGGAATATGCCCGGGAACCTTGGTAACCGCGAGCGCCGGGGGAGGCTCGGGAAAAGGGAGGAAGGGGGCGGTCTTGGCGGCTTCTATTCCCTGGTCTTTCTCGACGCTGTGGGAGAAGCCGGGGCAACTCGAGCTGCCTTTCGCCGTCCTGTGGGGACGTGGTTTCTCTCAACCATCCTTTTCTATCTCCCCCCCCCCCCGCGACTGGGGGTTATTTGGTGCCTTCTACTTCAAGGGTGTTGCGCCAGTCGAGTCCATTAATAAAGGGGGGGGGGAGGTGATGATGCCCGTTGCGACGACTTCTGTGTCTCTTTATGCCACGGACCCAGATGCCGCTCTTTGTTTTGCAGCCTTGTTGGGACTGAGCTGGGCTGCTTTGGCCCAGGCTGACCAACGCAAATTCCCCCGAACGTATTGGTTTGCCCCCGTTTTGAGCTGCTCACTAGGGTTGCCACCTTCGGGATGGGAGATTCCTGGAGGCTTGGGAGGGCAGAGTTTGGGTTAAGGGAGGGCTCAGAAGAAGAAGAAGAGATTGGATTTATACCCCGCCCTTCACTACCCATAGCAGTTCGAAAGCAAGACATGGCAAGTAGATAAATAGGTACCACTTCGGTGGGAAGGTAACAGCGTTCCGTGCACCTCGGCCATTTAGTCACGCCAGCCACATGACCACGGAAACGTCTTCGGACAGCGCTGGCTCTTCGACTTTCAAACGGAGATGAGCACCGCAACCCTAGAGTCGGATTCGACTGGCTTTCAAGCAACTGAACCTTTACCTTCACTACCCAATGGAGTCTCAGAGCGACTTGCAATCTCCTTTCCCTCCCCCTCCCCACAACAGACACCCTGTGAGGTAGGTGGGGCTGAGAGAGCTCTGACAGAAACTGCTCTTTTTTCAAGAACAGCTGTGCCAGAACGATGGCTCGCCCAAGGTCATCCAGCAGGTGCAAGTGGAGGAGTGGGGAATCAAACCCGGTTCTCCCAAATTAGAGTCGCGCTCCTAACCGCTACACCAAACTGGCTCTCAGGGATGTTATGCCATAGAGTCTACATTCCAAAGCTCCCATTTACTCCAAGGGAACTGCTCTCTGTGGTCTGGAGATCAGTTGTAATTCTGGGAGAATGTCAACCACCCCCTGGAAGTTGACAAATCTACTGCCCACGTCTGGGCATCTCACGTAGCCTGACCCTGGGCAAGTGAGATGGTGAGCCCACTTCTGGGTTGTGCCGCTTGGAACTGCATGACTGGATTGCTTCTCCACACACCCGCAAATTGGAGGGGGGGGGGGAGCACGCTAAGAGTTCTAGTTTAACCTTTTCTTGGGGATAGGGT